GTACGGGGTCTGAATCTGGACAACGGCCCTAGCATAAGGGGCGCAACTGTATTACCTGGGCCCCATCTGCATTGGGCCTGGGTACAGGTACTGGGCCCCAGGCGCAGGCTCAAGGTAGACCGCCCACACGCAGCACTGGATATAGGCAGAGCAGGCGAGTGGGCAGGGATCGTGGCCATTGCGAGCAAGGCCGGCATGCTGTAGCATTGCGAGGCGCTGCGCTGCGCTAGGATGAGAGAAGGCAGGTTGGCCCTAAGCGGTAGGGCGCAGCCTGGGCGCAGGGCACTGGCAGCCATAGCCGGGCTGCATGAGAGCGCTGAAGAAGGTGAGGGCGAAGGTGGTTCTTCGGAACGTGAAGGGCGCTGTGTGGGATAACAAGGGAGAGTGAGGGAGAAGAGAGAGACGTACCTGGTGGAGAGGAGGCCGGCATTGATGTTGACGTCGTCACTCGCTGGTAGTCAAGTTGTCTGGTTGCTTCCATGATGTAGTTGTAGGGATAGGCTGTAGAGTAGATAGGGCGCCTGGCGCCATTTAAGAGAAAGGTGGTTCTTCGGAACGTGAAGGGCGCTGTGTGGGATAACAAGGGAGAGTGAGGGAGAAGAGAGAGACGTACCTGGTGGAAAGGAGGCTGGCATTGATGTTGACGTCATCACTCGCTGGTAGTCAAGTTGTCTGGTTGCTTCCATGCTGTAGTTGTAGGGATAGGCTGTAGAGTAGATAGGGCGCCTGGCGCCATTTAAGAGAGAGAGCTACATTGGGTTATGCTGTTGGTGTTGCCCATTGGGCTTGGACATTGACTCACGATTCTGCTGTATCGTTCTCAAATGGATGGTTTCTTGGTTCCATCGTGCTATCTGCTCTTGCTTTGACTACTTGGACTTCAGCGTGATTTTGCAATTTGGATTTCTGTGCTTCGTCCGCATTCATGTTCCTTGCACTGCGAACAAATCATTCCTACTCCAACAAAACTTACAAAAGTAATCACAATTAAAGCCTTCAGTGTAAATAAAGAAGAAGACATCGTTGCCATCATGAAAACACCGGCCACTACAATGTTCTGGTAAGAGCACGTCAGAACTCAAAACAACTATGTCATTACTCTTGCTATGGATTGAATCTCCACCAATATCCATACACACAAGAACATAGACTGCTACCATCACTGAGGGCTTGAGGATGAATACTCACACTTCAACCACCCGTTTATTCGTTCCGTTAGAGCATAAGATACCCTTCCAGTTGCATGGATTAGAACCCGACCAATCCTCCATGACATACGGATCGCTTTGAAGTGATGCTCTGATTTTTAAGAGTGCATATGCTATACAACACACACAAACAGCCCAGCCCCAACACACAGACAACAATTAGTAATTAAGCGCAAAATCTTTGCGACTCCTCAAAAAGAAGAAGTCTCAGAGCGAACTTGTTTTCAGTTTGCTGAAAACAAAATGGTTCATTTGTCCATGGTTATGCTCAGCCATTCACCACTAAACATGGCTTATGGTCTGCCCCCAAATAGAAATGTGCCGTCACTACAGCTATATTTGGGCCAACTTTCATTGTAAGATACAGTGATACCGACCGTATGTTCTACTCAGTTGAAAATGGTAGGCCACATATAGAACGCATGCCAAAGTTGAGATAAGAGAGATATCTGCATCCTGTTGTGCATGCTGCAGCATAAGAAAGCATCTCTCAGTATTGCGCCTGCTAAGTTGTGAATGCTTTCTGATGTAGCTCACAATAATGATACCTTGTAGCCTTGCGGGCCTGAGCTCCTGCCAGGACATCGCAATGACGCACATTCTGTGATGGTCTATGTCATTCTCCATGCCTATCTCTGCTTTTTGTTTGTTGTCGACATTATAGACCAACAATAAACAATTTGCAAGTATTGTAACTGTAAAAGACAGACTCCCGGAGTTGATGTCTTGTTGCCACAGCAAGAACCCACGGTTTTGCAGAACCCGCGGGTGTGCCATAGCTGTAAATAACGATCTAGTATTCTGTGGTTTGCTGTGATTTTCGGTTTTCTGACTTTGTCGCTGTTATTTATTTATTTATTTGTCCTTTGGCCCTGAGGACTTTTCTGCAATTTTGCCACCTCGACATACCTGCAAATAGAGGTCTGGCCAGGGTTGTGTACCTGCCGACTGCCGACCGTTTTGCAGCCGTCTGGTAGGGGCGACCGGTTGGCGGTCTGCCGACCTGTCAGTAAACAGCCATCCACTGATTTTTATTTTAATCTGACTATGGGGCTGTGCTGC